GGCCGATCGATCGAGTAATGTAATGCTTTAAATAGTAATCACTAGAGAGAGAGAGAGAGAGAAAGAGACGCGTGGAGCAAATGCGAGTACCGAATTACTTTCGCAAGCGATCAAACGGCGACGCGATCTCCCACGCGTAGTAGAGTAGGCATTTTCTGCGCGAACGTGCGGCCCGAGAGCGTTACTTCTGTCGAGTCTGCACCGAGGGGAATATTGTCGCTGTCAGCGAATATGTTTTATAGCGGAGTCGCAGCCAGGACGCGACTACAGGCGACGCGACGGTAACGCGGATCGGAAAGAGGAAGAGCAAGACAGAATGAGAGGGAGAGACGATGTACTATCAGCCTAGGTGGGTATTGGATTTGTAATAGAGGCCATATGGAGCTATAGGTGCTCCTCCATCCTCCGATTTCAACCTGCCGAGTGCGCTCCTTACCTCGCCTCGAAACGAACCACTTTTTCTTATAAAAGACGATCGTATCGGCGTAAAGACTGCCGGCTCGATAGAACGCATTATTCGCACGATGGAGTAAAGAACTTGCGAATGTATCGCTCACGTATTTTGCCTCGTTAATTCCCAAGAGCTTCCTCATGCACGGAGAGCGCGCACGACTATTGAAAGAAATGTCATATAAAACCCCAGGTTGAAATTTCAATTCCACATTGACCCTACAAATTCTGTCGAACTCGAAGAATCAATAAAGAATTTCGAAATATAATATTATACAAGCTGTTATTCTATACATACATATAAAATAAGAAAATATTACGTATACGTACGAAATAAGAAAATATTAAATAATATGAATAAATAATTTCAATAGAACCTAAAGTCTTCGACAAGAGGTGATAAAACAAAAATAACAGTTGTGTGTTCAATAATGCAATGTGTGTGTGTGTGTGTGTGTGTGTGTATGTATCAAAATTTAAATTTGAAGTTTATAAAATAACAGTATCGCGTGTTGAATTTGCAAATGAGCTCCTTTCATTTTTATCTTTTTCAGTTTTATCTTATCATTATCCCAATTTTAAATTTAAATATCGATTATATAATTATCGATTCTAAACTTAAATATTGATTCATATAAAATTATTATCATCCTTACAATTACTTTCTTCTCATTCTTTTGAATTTTTAAATCTTATTAAAATTTTAAAACTAATACAAAAAAAAAATATTAAAGAAATTATGAAATAAAAGAATTTGTAGCTTTATATTTCCGAATTAATTTCATTATATACCCATATTATTTATTTCATATTTACTTACCCTATATGCCTTATTTTCAATTAAACTACATTTGTTGATTACCGAAATAAAGAATACAGATTATATGCAAATAAAATATTGAAATAATATTGATTTCCACAAACGATCAGAAAGAGAGTATTTTTGTTTCCAATAGTGATTGATAAAATATAAAATAATTATAGATCAGATCTTGCGATGCGGGTCGTCAACAATTTATTTCATAAATTTATCTGTCATCGGCCGTATAACGAACACAATCGACCTCGATTATGGCGTGTATGCCCTGACCGTGCCCGTAAAACAGAATGGTCTCGGCTGGTGAAACGCCATGTCGAGGAGATTGAGTTGCACAGCGTCACGAGAGAATGCAGTTTCTCCAAAGCGATTAATCCTCATTGGATGAAATTCACGTGATACACGTCGCCGACAACTGCGTTACAGCGAACACAGCCGGTTCCTTGTCGCGCGATTCAAACGCTGCTCCGAAAATCTATGATCACGCGACAACCGCGTAAAACTCATCAGCGAATTATTCCGCCCTAATTTTCGCGATTATTACTTTTTCGATAGCGCAGCCGTAACAACGGAAAAAAGAAGTACGATCGGACGATCGATCGGAGGTAAAAGCTTTATCGCCGAACGTCTCTCGATATTTCTTCCCGGGTATCCCGGAATGAACAGCGAAAGCCGTTAAGGATGACTAGCTCGATTTTAACGGGAGCACCGAAGGGTTGCTACACACATCGAGAGCGCTTACACACGTAGCCCCAAAGACGTCCGGTATTTCGATTAGCCCGATCCTTCAACGAAGCAGACAGGATGATAGCGCGATCGCAAAAATTCCCTTCACCCTTTCGCTCCCTCCGCCGCCGACGTCGGTATTGTCGAATCGACTTGTCGGAATTTCGCGCACGTGCCGCCCGAGAGTCTACCTTTCTTGCCTGGCACATACGTACGTGATCGTTGAAATTTTATTCCTTCGCGCGAAAGTACACTCGACGAGGGAAAAAAGTTACTTTTCGAAAACTCTCTCTCGTGACGGAACAAGTGGTAAAATCGCGGCGGACACATTCGTGGTTACCGTAAAATAAAAACGGCACAACGTCGAGTAAAGATGAGAGGTATGGAGAGGTACGAATATTAGTCTCTCGATTTCTCGATCGGTACGCGGGAGAAGTCGATGTGTGTAGAGATAATACGAACGATAAAGCTTTTTAGCTTCGACAATGTACTTCCGCGGTAATCTCTCATTTAAGAGGCTCCGACCACTTAGAAAGTACAATTATGCAAATACCGGTTGTTTAAGTGCGGTGCGAGCGCAGCCGGGAAGAGAAACAGACGCGGAACCGTAATTCTGCGAACGCTAATGCAAGCATATTTTCGCGGACCCCGTGCCCCCGGTTCCCGGGTTCGATGAAATATACAGCACGGTATTTCACAACGCGTCGCGATACACCCAGCACCGCGTAAAAACATCGTTGATTTACGTTTACTGTTAATTTATACCATTTTGTGCGGTGATTATGAAAATGAGGAGGGTATTGCCTAACTTTCTTAATTACTTCTCTCAGCCGTTGGCGGGCGTTATGAGAAGAAAAAACTTCCGCGATAATTTACTGTAATTACTTACATGCTCTTAATGCTCTAACGCTCTAGAGAGGCCGACAAATTTCCCCGCGTCTTCGATCAAACTATCCGACTAACGTCGGAGAGTAATCGTTTCGTTCAGGAAGTACGTAATACATTTCTGGAGTAAACCGACGTGCGGAAAATTCTCGGAACTAAAAAAAAACAAAAAAAAAAACAAAAAATTCCCGCGTCTGTTCCGGTGGAATAATTTTGGGTAAAAAAAAAAAGGGACAAAAGAAGAGAGGAGAGAAAACAATGGAAAATACGGGAAAGTAGCGGTCGTCGATGTATGCCGAGCACGTAAATGTTGTTTATCGCAGAAAACGTTTCTAGTTGTCTTCAGGTTCGAATTGTTTCGAAGGGGAATAGGGATCCGCAGTGTTATACCCCATTGCTGGAGCACCAAATATACACACAGTGCGCCTTGATTATGCGCAACACGTATTCTCAAACACAATCTCGCGACACTCGTAACGCAGGTGGAATTCGAGGCTTCCTCGAGGCAGATAACTGAATTAATTAAGTCTCCTGCAAATGAGGAGATACCCGTGTAACAAAGGTGAATTAACACTAATTCACATTCGCGTATCCGGCGTACGTGCGCGAATACTGTGCGGGTGTTAAAAAGCGATGAAAAATGGTCGAATTAAAGTAACGACGGCTGAGCATGCTGCTTTACGCGAATCATTTTGAAAGCGATCTCAAAAGCGAAGAAGGAAGAAGGAACAAAAATACACGTATCAGTCGTTCGCGGCGTGAGCCTGTGAAAATGGGATTGTATCGCGCGCCGATACTTTAAGCATCTGCGGTATCAGTGAACGTCCGCACGGTTGACCGTTTAACGCCCGGGGCCATCAATAATAAAGTACAGCTGCGTGCGGTTATACTCGCCAGCCCTGCAGGCTCTCCTCTCAAATATCGAAGCAAGGAGGGTAATATATATGCCGATATATATATATATATATATATCCTGTGTGATTGGAATCTACCTCCTTCTCCGACACCACATATTCCTCTTCTCTCCACCCTTCGCTTCTACCCTTCTTCCGCCCGTTTTCTTTCTTTCTCCGCTTTCCTTTTATCCTTATTACGTCTTTCTTACGCGTCGAATCTAAATTTATTTTCTTTATTCGAAGCAAGTCGTCTTCTTATCGCTCCATATTCGATTTCTATTCTAAAAGCGCTTGCACGAGCAAGAGAACGAGAAATATTTCTCCCGAACGACCGAGCATCGTTTAAGCTTTGTTTAAGTGAACTTTTAAACGTAGAACGTAGTACGTCTCTTTTGGGAACACCTTTGCAGGAATATCTTTCCCGATTTCGCTCTTCTTCTACAATTTGTCGCGGATTAAAGAAGTTGAAGGCTTAAGAGAATCATTATTCAGGATACAGAGATTATAAGCTATAAGCTATAAGCCGCTGTATCATCGGGTTATATGTTCAGAAAAGAACCACGCAGTGTCGGGAACGGTACGAAAGAAGGAAAACGAAGCAAAACGTTGAGAGAGGAAAAGTGGTAGTAGCAGGATCTGTTCGTTTACGCAGTTGCAGACCGGCATAAATCATTGGAGGGTGGAATACCACAAATATATCACATTCAGACAGTTCAAGAATAAAATAAACAACCCGTTTTCTCCCTCCCCGCCTCCTTCCCTTTATCCTCCCTTGCGGCCCACCACCGAAACCTCCGCCTACGGTTATATTTCACGAGATTTCATTCCGGTACAATCTCCTACAATAAACCCGCGGTTTTCTAAGTCTTTGATTTACTTCGCGACTATATAAACGAAACTGCTGTTTAATCTGTACGCAACAATGCTGATGGCTCTGTGTATAGGATTTTCCCGATAAGTATTAAAATAAACCTTTGATATACCGTGGCGCAATGAAAATATACTCGGAAGTATAATAACACTATTATTCGCAGCGTCGTATAATTAAAACACTTTTTATTGCATATATAAAATGTGTTTAATATTATCCGATACAGTCGTATTTTCAACTTGGATAATATATAACAAACACACACACATACACACACTTAACAAACGTACAACATTCTGAAAACGAACGCTGAGAATGTTAGTGTGAATATACGATGTAAGTTGCATGTACTTACCTGCAAACTCGGGTGACATCCTAGTTCCAACAAGGTTCGCACCACGCCTGCGTGTCCTTTATTCACTGCAATATGAAGAGCGGTCTGACGTCTTTTATTTCGGGCGTTTAGATCGGCGCCGGCACCAGCGAGAAGTGCCATAACTCCCGGTTCGTCGCCAAATGCAGCATGGTGAACGGCTCTGTCACCGTCCTTATCCTGTTTTTGCAAAAACACAACATAAACAAGTGTCTCGGACACACTCCGATATATTACCGGCGTCATCTCGCTCACTGTGTACAAAAAAAAAACAAAACTTACTTCTATCTCTACGTCCGCTTTATACCGAAGGAGTATTTTGATAACTTCTAAATGACCGTTCTGACTTGCTGCTTGTAAAGCAGTGTGACCAGCGAATACTCCGTTTACATCAGCTTCTGGTCGTTTCAAACATTCTTCGCATTTAGCAGCGTCGCCATTCGCTGCAGTTTTTACTAATTCTTCGTTAACATCGCCCGAAACGTGAGTTTCAAATAATTTTTTTAATAGTGCCGATAATCGCTCTGAAAAACAAAGCAATATTATGAATTGCACCACATATTAGTCACCATTATCACATATTGTCAACCTATCAACGTAAAATTAACTAGAAATGACTAACAAGATGATTAATTAATTTAATTTACTATTATTACTTACCACCACTACTATTCCCTTGTACACTTCCGTCGCTACTAGCAACTTTTGTAACAGCTTGAGGGTTATATGTCCATGATGTACTACAGACTTCTACTTTTAAATCTCCATCATGATATATCTGTTGTACTCGTCCTATTTTCCCCAAAGTCTGAAAAAATTGTACAGAGATCAATGTATAAGCTAGTAGAGTAAATAGAATTGTGCGTGTTTTATAGATTTATCAGATCAAAATACTTACTGGAGCCATTGCTTCAGCCCATTCGCCGTGACCACGTTGAAGTAATTTAATCTTTTCTATATCATTACATATTTGAACCAAATCTCCAACTGCAAATGTCTGATTGTCAGAACTCGAGCTGGTAACAGGCACAGGTATCTGAACTTTAGTAAGTACAGCCGGATTAAAAGTCCATCGATTGCCGCTTGGATACGATACAACGATATCATGATCTTCGTCGATACCAACAACTGTTCCTGTAGTGCCGAGGCATTCAAACATTCCATCTGTCCAACCTCCATGGCCATGTTGTAACGATTGCACAATTTCCAATTCTAAATCGACATTGACCTAAGAATATAGAAGGAAAATTTATTATATTGCAATCTTTATGCACGTAGCAAAAATATAACAAGGGGCAAACAAATTATTCACCTGATCACCAATTTGAAGGCCATGAGGTCCTGTTCGACCTGGACCTTGTTCACCCAATAACGGTAAGTGATCTCTGTATACCGTTTGTCCTTTTGCATCATTGACAACTTTCAAATCCGCCTATATATAAAAAGACATATGTTAATATAAAATCCTTTGTGCAATTGATATAATAATTGATGTAATAATAATAATAAGTATAATATATTAACCATTCCCTCAAAACCAACTCTGTACAAATTCTTGGCACCATTATCCCAAATAACATAAGCTGCTGAGCGTGGGCTAGCTGCGGACCAGTCTTGCACTTCATTAACTTTACCTCGTCGACCATTTCCACCATCTTGATCTTCCCATTGCCAATCTACACCACGTACAACTCTTGCACCAGGAAATATACCACGAATTGCAATCTGAAATAAAATATTAAGTTTAGAAGTCGTGATATGTAGCAAATAGGTTACAAATAACAAAACTATCATTTATTATTTATACTTTTTTGCTTTTTCTTCGAGGCTCCAGCAAAACTCTCTCACTTCCTGGCGTAGCAATGCGGAAAAATCTATGCCTCAAATGATGCTTGTCTCCATGATAACAGATAGAACAAAGATCATAATTGCCACATTCGGCACATTTCCATCTAATTCCAAAAATAGGTTGTTGGCGACAGGTGTCACACATTGTTCCATCATGCTTTACTCCAGTTGGTGCTGAATCCAGTATACGCAGATCAAATGCTCCAGAGCAACGATAATTAGCCGCTGTACCATTATCCCAAACAACTACAACTTCTTCTGGAGATTCAAAATTTCTAACAGTTCCCACGTGACCTTCTCCACCATCCTTTTAAACACATACAATTACGAAATAGTAATGAAGGTATTTTTATAGTTTTGTGATTGATATAAAATTTGCTAACAATATGTCTAGATACTTATTAGTTGTATGTCATTAAAAGTAAAGGTATAACTGAATGCAATTGTCATTGTTTTGAAAAATTTACAATCCAAATAAATACAAAATATCAATGCAATAAACAATGTTTACAGAATAACCTTATAGCAAGATAAATAATTCCTTTACAGGCACAATTCTTTTACAAAAAATTATAAAAACGTCAGTGCAGAAAATAGAAGAGGTGAAAATATTTATTGCAAATAATCGAAAGGAAAAGGAACATGGTGTTATATCAAAAAACTTATATTTAATGCAGTTAACCTCTCATCCTAACCTGTTTTCCCCACTTCCATTCCGGCCCACGAATCACTCGGGCACCGACACCTTCCATCATAAATCGCGTCGTACGAGTACCTGTACTCGCACCAGCCTCCATCGTTCGTTGACAATAATTCTTTCACGTATTTTATTCAAAACTTTAGGAACAGAATACTCTTCTACTTGATACGGTCACTGAAAAATAACGCCACCATGTCAAGCGTCAAAACACATGTTGCCAATACTGTACGTCTAGGAACATAATCTCCTAACCATTTTGCAATATATAAAATTTGTAATTACAAATTTTGTTTCTATATGTGGTTTAAAAAAACATGAACATACTTCCTTTTCGATCCTTTTGATTTCCTCGATTCCGTGTACGATATGTTTGTTCGTAACCGTCGTTAGATGTGGACTACGGTACGCTAAACATGGAACGTCGGAACGCGAACTTCTTCATGTTCGCAGCATATAGCATCGTACCGTTAATAAACGAGCTTTTCCAAAGCTATGTCTTGCACATTTCTCCATCTCTTTCTGTCCTCAACGTGTCCTAAAATCACACAGCATTCTTTATAGAAAGTTAAAGTAACTCGACTTTCTTTGGTTCATGCAACGCAAAATATTCGCTCAATTTCACCAGTTTCATCGATTAGTAACGTCGCGATCTATACATCACGATAACGTAATTAATTAGTATGGTTATAAACTTTCCATCAGAACTAACTTCCATCCATCTCGTCATCACAGGCCGATCTCGTCGCCTGACAAGAAGCAAATCAAAAGGAACGATAGATTTCTGGTGAATAAGATGAAGACGCAGGGAAATGCATAAATTGACATACAAAATCTTTTATTCATATAAAAGGACACTTTATACTAGCACGTACTGTCAAACCTAGCCTACTTCCGTACAGTCGGCACCGCCGGGACACTCCCGGCTCGCTCTCGTTTATTTCCATTTATCACATATTTATTATAATACGCGGCGAACGATATCAAATTGTATAATGCGAAATAAGGGCGCGATAGCAGCCGTTACGAACGTACTCACGTGTAAAAAGAAACGTCGGGGATGTCCATCGCGCGCACGGGGATTGAGTATCTTTACGTACTGACGACGCGCAACGCTTATTGAGTTACGCACTCGTGCGGCCAACTTCAAACCGCTCCAGTTCCGCGTTCCAAACGGACATTTCTGCGGGAAATCAAACATGTCGGAACATGATCACGCGCGTATACGTTTGCAACGGCTGTGCGGAGGAGGACGACGACGTCGGTGGGCAGAATTTGGCCGCTCTCTGTGCGTAAGTACAATGCGTAAATGCGTTTATATAACAATAAAGTTGCGCAAGTCCGGAGAAGTGTCTCACGGACACTTCGCCGCCTCCCGACTACGACACGAGTTTATTACATGCACATACTATGTATTCACCATGGTCATATACCTTACGTTACAGCTATATGCATACCATAATATCGTACTTATTCGATATAACACTCGACACTCATTACCTTCGGTAATATTATTCGCTATGAGTGAAGGGCTGGATATCAAGATAAATACTAGGTTCGGACTATAATCGCTAGATTATATTGGCTTGGAAAGAACTGACTCGACTCCGTTTCAAGCGACGAGTCGCGATAACCGATTTGCTCGTACATTTCGCGCTCAAAATGCCGGCGACGAAACCGCGCGGCGCGGCGCGCGCGCACACATGAACGCTCGATTTTGCGCGTCGTTTGAATGATCAGTCGCGTAACTTTCAATGAGCCTTGAGCAAATTATCGAAGATAACCGCGTGCGCGTGTCGCTTGTCGCTTGTCGCTTGTCGCTTGTCGGAAGGTTAGACCAAAAACACGCGCCGTTAGGATGAACTTAATCGCGACGGAAGACAAGTTCGTGATCGCGTATTCTTTTCGTGTAATTGTCAGCTAATTGAGAGTTATGACACTGATGCGCTAACAGCTTTCGGTCTAATCGAACGCACGAGTTGGTCGCCCGATCTGCGAAAGCACACACACACACACATAGAGTGTCCCGCCACTCTCGCTTTATTGGTATTACTTTCACTCACGATGTACTTCTCGAGTCGACTTCACCTCAAATCACGCGCGAATGTCGAAGCGCCGATCATTCTTTTCTTTTCCCGTTGTCTCTTTTGTCCTTCTATCAGTCATGACATTAAACAAAAGCGCCCCATATACGTGTGTCAATCGTTTATTATCGATGTTACGTGGAAGATTCGTTTCGTTCAAGTCGGAAGATAGTGACAGTAACAATATGGCCACTTTGTATATCACGATCGAGTTGCCGTGGAAGCTCTATGAATAATACACGCCGCGGTTAATATTCGTTGGTCTTTCAAGTCGAGAGAGATCCTTTGCGTTACGAACAATGTGAAAACGCATGTTTCGTGATAGTTTCTCCGCGAGAAGCTGTTCGCCTGGGCAGAATACGAGCTTAGTCGATAAACGAGTACTAGAACTAACGGGCCGCTGATATCAGGAAGACCGAACTTCGACTCGTCTTCGTCCGATTATTATAAATACAGACAGTATGCGCAGTATTTGTGCGACATGATATAGCATTCGTTCTATTTTTATTATACTAAGGATACGCCTCAAGTTCCGGAGTCTCAAAGCGTGACGTTGCACAATAGCTCTCTCGCGTTTGAACGACGATCGATCGATCGCGTGTGTCATCTCGTTGGGATCGACCGGGATAATTCAATAATTGACCCGGCGAAAGAGAACCGAAAGATCTCGCGGTTTTTGCTCTCTCTCTCTCTCTCTCTCTCTCTCTCTCTCTCTCTCTCTCTCTCTCTCTCTCTCTCTCTCTCTCGCTCTCGCTCTCTCGCTTTCTGCTTCGTAGCGCGACACTTTGAGACTGGAGAACCGATGGGCGATCATCTCGTCTTAGATAACTATATTTTCGTACAAATTGTATAGAATATCGTTATCGTTAAGTATTATCATCAGGAGGGTACAATGTATATAAAGAATTATATAAATGTATATATTTATATTTATATATATATATATTTATATTTATATTTATATAATGACGCGCCAGCTCGCCGGAGAAGCAAATTCTCGATCGGTCCTCCGCGCGAGCCGCTGTTTGAGCTTTGAGATGCGTGTATCTTTCGTCTCTGGCTTCTTCTCATCTTTAACATATATATGCACCATGCACACACACGCACATACACACACCCGCGCGCGCACTGGGACACGATCGTTGGCACTGTGTACGTATAGTGGCGGATCGATTAGAAAATAGAGATAAAAAAGTAGAAAAAAAAAGAGAGAAAAGGGAGAATAAGGAGAAGACACTCGATCGAAAGTTTTTTCCCCGAGAGGAAAACGACTAGGATCTCCGGATCCTCGCGGCTTAAGATTACGGAAGCACGAACGGCCCGATGCCGATCCTTAATCTCTCGATCGTGTCCGAGTGCGCGTGAACGTCAGCAAACGTGAGTAACGTGACCCGATCGTCGGGACACACGTAGCAGCCGAATAAGCGGATCCAGAACACGCTCAATCGCGTAGCAAATAAATGACACATATATATATATATATACTATATATATATATGTATATATATGTATATATATATATATGTATATATATGTATATATATATATATCTTCGTCGCTCAAGATTGTCGCAGTGATACCGTAAGAGCCGTCCGGGGCACACAACGCATCATCTTTTTTGCCCCTAATTTCCCGATCTCCAGCACTGCGTCGTAGGAGGGATACTGTGTAGGTTAACGTGTAGTTCGCGTTTAAAAAATTCCGCTGACTAAACGATTCCCTCGTGATATCCCCCCGTGACGATCCCCTCGCTTGGTACAGTATCACTGCGCGATCGGTGCACCTTGAATTGCTTCTCTCGTTATTTCTTCGTCTTTTTTTCGTTTTTTTTTTTTCGTGCGTCATACGAAACGCGTTCTTTTGCATTTCCTCCCCTTTTATTCTTTATTACCCCCATCACCTACGAATCAATCGCAATTGCGACTCCTCGAGTTTGATACCGACGACGATGACCGTGGCTGCGGACGGCGCTCGTTGCCGAAACGAAAGTAGTGCCGCTGATACTCGACACTGACGAAGGCACAGTCATAAGTCTCGTACGTTCAGTAATTTTCTCTCTCTCTCTCTCTCTCTCTCTCTCTCTCTCTCCCTCTCCCCCTCTCTCTCCTTCTCTTTTTATCTTTTTTTCTTTCGTTTCTTTTCTCCTTCGGGGAGTATAAGATACTCCGCGAGACAGAGCGCGGAATTGTATCACGAACGAAATTACACTTTCTACGTCCGCGCTGCTTCGCTTCCTCCTTTTGTATTCGCGTATTAGCACCGATAACGCGCCTCAATACGCATTTTATCCCCTATGATTTTCCGATCAGTAATACCTCCTTCATCTCGTTCGTCGCCGCTCTCTCTCTCTCTCTCCCTCTCTCTCTCTCTCTCTCTCTCCCTCTCTCTCTCTCTCTCTCTCTCTCTCTCTTTTTATATAACATAATATAATATTATTAATATAAACGTTTACGTTTTGGCCACTCAGTTCGTGATCGCCGAAGCACACTATTGTCTGTGTTCCGCGACGTCTAGGTAGTTTAGAATAATTTTAATTCACTTTTATACAACACTGAATCCCGCTGTCGACTTCCTTCTCGTATTTGCTTCTTGGTAGAGACGAATCCCGCGATCCAGCTCGGCGGCTCATCTCCTCCTCTTGGCCGTAATCGCGCTCGTCTTCACTGTAGCCATTATTTGCCTGAGCGTCGGTTCCGGACTGCACATTATCGGCTCGCACTTCATATTGCCGTCACCTTCGCAACTGAAAATTTGAAGTAATTCTCATTATTCTACTTCGATGCAAGGTTAATCAGAGATAAAGATCAATATGGCGATATATTCGTAGCAGAGAGAGAGAGAGAGAGAGAGAGAGAGAGAGAGAGAGAGAGAGAGAGAGAGAGAGAGAGAGAGAGAGAGAGAGAGAGAGAGAGATATTTCGTAACCGATCGACACTTACGTGCAATTGCGGCAAGGTCCAGACGCTGACTTGATGACTTCTCCTACTCGATAAGCTTGGCCCCGAATCTGGCAGCCACTTCGTCTCGCGGCGCCCTTATAAGCGTGATGGTGGAAAAGTGGCGGTAACGTAGTGGTGGTCGTGGTGGTAGTTGTGGTCAAGTTCAAAGCCGTGGCCATCGACACGGGACATTCGTATCTCGGGCAACAGAAACCACTGATCGGTTCCTCGTGGCAGCCCGGGATCGGCGGTGGGCAGCTCTGCTGAAGGCAGATGATGTCGCTCCTGAAGCAGAAGCAGAAGTCGCACGGGTCGTCCCTGGGTATCTGCTGCGCTGACACGTAAACCTTGCCGCCGTATCGACAGGTGCCAGGTCCAAAGACCTCCTGATCGTTTTCTTCGTAGTCCTCGTCGGGATTCAAGTAACTGCCACCACCTTGCATAGGGAAGTGGGAGTCTTCCTCACCGGATACAGATTGGTCAGGATACTCAGGAAGATGAGGAGCCGAGGTGCTGGACGGTTGTTCGTGGAAACTAGGTAGGTACGGACGTTCGGTCGCTTCCGCAGTGTGGTTCACTGGTCGCTCTTCTTCGGATTCGAGTGACGGTTCACCCTCCGCTGAATAGTCGGTCTCCGGCTTCAGAGTAGTCTCCGGGAAGTGATCGACGTGCGGGTGACCGATCTCTTCACCTTCCTTAGGAACTTCCTCCGTGACTTCCGCTGATGGTATTTCTGTGGGTATCGGCTGTATTTTTGTGATATGCTCCTCGATCGGCGTTTCCGTCGAGTGCGGAGCCTCTTCGGGGCTCGTCGGAGTCTCAGATTCTGGTTCTTCGGCTGTTGGGCCAGTAGTGACTTTTTCTTCAGGTAGTTCGGTTGGCGCGCCAGAAATCTTGACTGGATATTCTTCCGTAGGCACGATAGTTTCCGAGGTTTGCTCGGGTTCTGGATGTCCTTCTGGTTCTACTGGAGTTTCCGGCGTTTGTTCCTCAAAATGAGGTTCCTCGGGTAGTTTAGTATGAGCCTCTTCACCTTCCTCAGGCAAGGTAGGCTGAGTTTCTTCCGGTTCTGGGGTTTCTTCTTCGGCAGGAAGAGGACCTTCGGTAAGCTGCACTTTTGTTATCGACGGTTCTTCTTCTTCTTCTTCTTCATGCTCTGAAGTTGTTTCAATTGGTTGGCTAGGCATAGTTGAATGTTCTTCGTGTTCTTCCTCACCCTCTGCGGAAGGAGCTTCCGTCGGTTTCTCCTCAGCTCCCGGAATGTGCGATACTTCTTCTTCCGGTAATTTTTCTTCGGTCACAGTGACTTCGACAGCTGCTTTCGTCGTGCTTTCAACTTGTTGCTCCTCGGGCGCTTCTGTTTCCTGTACCGGTTTGACTGGCTCTTCCGTTTCGGGTGAAATCTTTTCGGGCTGTTCGGTGGAGCTTACCTCGGCGGAAATTTTCGTGACAGATACCTCTGGTTCCTGTGTTGCGCTCTCAGGTGTAACGGATTCTCCTTCGGATGGAAGTTTCTCCACCTCGCTAGGCTCAGTCGCTGGTTTCGATACTTCCTCTTCTAGAGTAGATAATGTTGTCTCGTGCTCAGGTTCATGAGTGCCTTCTTTCTCTTCAGTTTCTGCCGGTACGGTCGGTTGCTCCTCAGGTGTCAACAAACTTGTCGCAGTTGTTGCTTCTTCGCTCACCGGGTGTTCCGGTTTGCTCGTAACTTCAGCTCCCTCTTCGGGTTCCTGCGGAAGAATCGTTACCTCGAATTCTTCTGGTGTTTGACCTTTTACTTCCGGTATTTGAGATGGTGTTACTATTTCTTGCTCCACAGAAGGCTGCTCCGTCGTAGCAGCGTGAGTTACAGCTTCCTCCTTAACAACTCCTTCCGTTGTTCCTTCCTTGATCGTTTCTTCAGTGGTCGGCCCTTCTTCTTTACTCGTTTCCTCCGTTATTCCAACTTCAGGCTTTTCAGGCTCTGCTTCACTGACTTCTTTCTCAACCTCAGGAGCCACCGTTTGTTCCTCGACTAAGCCGGGTGATTCTGTTTCTGGTTTAGCAGTTTCAGCAGTCTTCTCGGTCACTTGTTCCTCTCGAATCGTCGTGCTTTCCGGCGTGGTTTTTTCCATCAAAATGCCAGCTTCCGACGTTTCACCCTCGCTAGGAGTAGGAGAGGCAACGGTTTGTTCTTCGGCTGGGTGTTCTTCAGGTTTCTGAGTCTCTTGCTCGATCGAAACAGTGATGTGTTCCTCCTCTGCAGTCGGAGCTTCAGTTTGTACTTCAGGAGAGACGGGTTGCTCAGTTTCCGTTGCGTCTACTTCTTGACTTGGTTCGGAAGTTTCCTTTACAATTGGTGTAACGGGTTGTTCTCCGGCTTCTTCTTGTACAGGTACAGCTATCGTTTGCACCTCCTCGGCTATTGTATGCTCCTCAGCGGGTGATACCTCAGTCGTATGAGCCTCAGTTGCAGGCGTGACTTCTGGAAGTTCTGTGACCGGAACTTGTGTAACTTCCGGCTCATGAGCGACGCTAGGCTCAGTGAGTTTCTCATGTTCTCCTTCTGCTTCCGTGGTTTCTTGTACTTCAGTAGTTCTCACTGGTTGTTCCATACTGACTACCGGTGATACAGGTTCCAGTGGTTTTTCCTCAGGCAATTCCGTGACGGACGGCTCTCCTTCATGTTCTATAACCGACACTTTTGTAGGTTCTTCAGCATGTTCCGTAGTTTCTACTCCCACAGCACTTTCCGTCGGTTCAACTTCCGATGATGGACCTTCCGGTGATGTCTCTTCGTGGGGAACTTCGGAAACAGGTTCCTCAGTAGGTTTGGCGACTTCTTCACCAGGCTTCTCTACCTCCTGTTCTGGCTCTTCTGCTTCAACGGACGATGTAGGAATAGTAATGTGTTCCTCTTCGACCACAGGAGTTTCGGTTGAGACTTCTGGTACTTTTTCTTCTTCGCTTTCCTCCGTAGAAGTTTCCACAACTTTTACAGTCACGTGTTCCTCTGATGGTGCCTCTTCAGTTATTGTAAGATCGTGTATCAGAGTCGTTGATTCGACAGCAGGTTCGGTCGGTTTCTGTGTTTCTACCTCAGCAGGCAATTTCGTTTGACTTTCAGGTTTCTCAGTTTGAGCAACTTGTTCACCTTCGGTTGACGTGATAGTTTCTTTCTCCTCTTCTTCTTCGTCCTTAGGTTTTTCCTCGAGCTTATGTTCCGTCGTAGGCTGAATTTCAGGAATGGAAGTACTCTCATACTCAGTGGGCTCGACGGTCTTTTCTTCCTCAGGAACTTCGAGTTTTGTTGGCTGTTCTTCCGTTACAGCAACCGCTTCTTCTGGCTTTGTAGATGTCTCGTGCTCCTGTTCAGGCGTTTCTGCCTCAACGGGCGACGTAGGTACGGTAATATGTTCCTCTTCGATCGTAGGAGCTTTGGTTGAGACTTCTGCTTGTTCCTTCTCAGCTTCTTCGACCGGTTTGACCGTAACCTGTCCCTCGATACCCTCTTCTTCAGTGGGTATTCCCTCTTCCTTCACCGGTGTAGTAATTTCCTCTTCCTTGCCAGCTGTAACCGTCGTAACTTCTTGTTCTCTCTCAGCAGATGTCGAAGATTCTACTTCAGCAGGAACGGAAGTTGCTTTCTCTTCTGTCACGGTAGGAACGGTAATCTCTTCCTCTTTGTGAGAAGAAGTCGACATTTCTTCCTCAGTGCCATGAGGCTCGACAGGTGCATGCGTAGAAGTAATCACTTGCTCTTCTTCACCGCTAACAGGAGTCTGCTCTTCGACGATCTCCTCCTGCGGTTGTTCAGTCGAAATTGCCGGTTTAGTCACTTCTTCCTTCTCTTCGCTAACCTTGCCTTCGGTGGTTTCCTCTGATACACTCTGCGGCTCAGTATGTTCCTCTTCTTCGGTAATCTGAGGAGTAGATTCCTCTGGTTTCTCGGGTACGGAACTAACGGTCTGCTCTTCAGGCTGTTCTTCAACAGTTTCCCCGACGGTAGTCGGTTGTTCGTAAACTGGTTCGATAGACTTGGGAGTCGTTGGCTGCCTCTCGGTCGCCGTCGACTCTACCTCCTCTTCCGCTTGGGTAGCAGAGGGCAAAGTAACCTCCGCAGGCTGCGATTCCGGCGTACTAATTTCACCAGCTGCCGTACTAGCTTCCGTTACAGCTTCGGTAACTTCCGCGACTGTTTCCTCCGTCGACACTTCCGCCGGCGAGACAGTCGTCTTTTGACCTTCCTCTCCTTCCGCCTCAGGAGTAAGAGGTTCGATCACATGACTGTCGGACTCCAATTCGACGGTCGGTGTCGAATCACAGGCGTACATCGGACAACATGAATCTCCGCTCACGCGGACCGGCATGCAGTTAGTGAGGTGAGCCGGCGGTGCAGGACATTGCACGAGCTCACATTCCACGATGCTGCTGACGCAACGGCAACTGGTTTGGCACGAATTCGCCGGTGGAACGGCCGAATTATTGTTGTAAGATTGTCCCTCGACGAGACAGTTACCTTCTCCCGGGATACCCGATGGACGAGGAGCGATCTGGGGCGTGGTCGCTTCTTCCATGGGAGTTTCTTCGGGAGTACTCGTTGGATACTCCGTCGAACTGTACTGAGGTCCTTCCTTCAGAGATGCTTCAGTAGTGATTTTCACTACAGGTATCTCTTCTGTCGAAGCTACCGTCGAATGTTCCTCGTGCTCCAGGGCCGGCGTCTCGGCTGTCGTTTCTTTACCTTCCTCTTCACCTTCAGGTTTCTCTGGCTGTTCTTCGGGTACTTTAGGCATTTCCGGAATTGCAGCTTCCTCTGTGGATACCTCGACAGGTACACCTTCTGTTTCCTCGCTTGGCTTTTCTTCCGTTACCGGTGACTGCGTGACTTTCTCGGGCGTTTCCTCTTCCGAAGGCACGGATTCGGTTGTTATTTCTTTCTCGACGGGAACTTCACTCGTCTGCTCCGTATGTTCCTCGACGAGTTTGGGCGATTCAGTTGACATCTCGGGAATTGATTCTGGTTTCATGGTACTTTCACTCGTTGCACCCTCGGTTGATTCACTGACACCCGCACCCTCTTCCTCGACAGACGGTTTTTCGGGAATCGCGCTGGTGGGTTCTTCATGAATAACCGGGCTGGGTGTTTCGGTTTCTTTTCTCTCGTGCAACTCAGGCTGTTCAGTGACTGGTTCTTCAGTAGGTTTCTCTTGTTCGGATGGTTTCGTTGCCTCTTCCTCCGGTTGCTCACTGACTACTTCGGGTTGCTCGCTCGAAGTTGGTTGTGTAATAGCTTCCTCTGTACCGGTAGATTCCGTCGTAACAGCTTCTTCGACCGGTTTTTCTTCCGGTAGAACAGGTTCGGTAACAGCTTCTTCCGTAGATGGAACGTGAGTTCCTTCAAGCTCAGGAGGACCTGTCGGTTTCTGTGGTTCTTCGTGCGTCTCGGTAACTTCCTTCTCTCCGAGAGACGGCTCCTGAGTCATTTCCCCTTCACTTTCTTGCTCTCCTTCGCTTGGTTTCTCTTTGACAGGTTCCTGATCCTCTTTGCGATCTGTGATCGAAGGCTGAGTTGACAAGTGTTCCTTGCTAACGGAAGGTTCGGTCTGCTCCGTCTCTTTCTCCACTGCCGATGTCTCGGTAGGCTGCGTCTCAACTATAGGAGGAACTTCTGTTTGCACCTCTTCTGTGGACACAGGAACAGAGACTTTCTCTTCACCCTCCTCTTCTGGTTTTTCGGATGCACGTTCTGTGGTAACAGATGATTCTGTTTGTTCGATACCGGTTACTTCCGTCGGTTGCACTCCCGCGATTCTTTCGGACGATTCTTCCTCAGTTATCGCGGCTTCAGTTTGTTGTTCTGCACTTTCGGTAGGGGCTTTCGTGCCTTCTGTTTCTTCAGGTTTCTCCTCTATTGTAGGTGCCTCGGTTTCCCTCGGCAAATCTTGGCCTTCTGTAACAGCGCCTTCCTCTTTAACGGGACCTTTTTCTGTGGGATATTGCTCAGGCTGCTCAGGCTGCTCAGGCTGCTCAGGCTGCTCAGGCTGCTCAGGTTGCTCAGGCTGTTCAGGTTGCTCAGGCTGCTCAGGTTGCTCAGGTTGTTCAGGTTGTTTGGGTTGCTCGGGTTGCTCGGGTTGCTCGGGTTGTTCGGTTTGCTCGGGTTGCTCGGATTGCTCAGGTTGCTCAGGTTGCTTCGGTTGTTCAGTTTTTTCTTCTTCAACAGCGGGCGCTTGCGTTGTAGGTCTCTCTTCAGCTTCCTTGATCGTGACTTCGCCCTCTTCCGAAACAGGTTTTTCAGTTTCTTTCTCTATTTCACCAGTTACTTCACTCGGTGTCACAGTGGATCCCTCCGTAGCAGGTTCCTCACCAGCGACCGGTTTTCCTTCTTCGACAGGAACATTTTCGATTTCTTTCTCTTCTTCGGTTTGTGGCGTCGATTGTTCGGCAGGTGGAATTGCTGTAGTGACTCGTTCACCTTCCGTTGTTTGTTCCTCAGCAAGACCCGAAGTCACCGTCGAGTGTTCAGGTTCGGCCGGGATCGATGCAGACGTTTCAGAAATTTCTTCCGGTTCTATTGTCGTTATCGGAGGTTGTATTTCTTCTTCTTCCTCACTTGATCCTTCCTCCTTCTTTGGTTGCGATTCCTTCTTACCCAAATCGATTTCCTCGGAGGAAATTTCACCGGATTCTTCGATGGTGAGTCCCTTCATGGGCAATTCTTCGCCACTAGGAACTTCTTCCGTTGTCTGAACTGTCGTTTGCGGTGTTTCGGTTTCAGTTTCGGCCGGAATACTAGGCTTCTCTGTCTCCTCGGGCTTTTCCGTGATGTGCTCCTCATGAGCGACAGTTGCTACAGAGGGTTCCGTGCTGCCCTGAGCTGCTTCAAGAGTGCTTTCCGTCTTGGATTCCTCAGAAATGGTAACGATTTCGGTGGTAGCAAGCTCTTTCTCGGTCGGCAAATGTGCTTCCGTAGCTTCCTCTGGTTTCGCTGTCTCTTGCGTCGGAGCTTCAGCGCCTCCCTCCACAACCGGTTTCGCGGTTTCTTTCTCCACCGGTGCTTCGGTAGCTTCTTCCGCAACAGGTTTCGCGGTCTCTTCCGACGGTGCTAGAGTAGTCTCTTGCGGGGTGCTTTCTGTAGATATTTTCTGCGGAGCTTCGGTCACGAGATTATCGGAGATGACTTCTGGACGTGTGATGTCCTCATAAATCTCAGTCATGTGATATTTATCCTCCGCCTTCTGCTCTGGCATTCGCTCAGGAATCGGGATGCCGGTTGAACCTTGGGCTGGAATTTCCGGAGTTGATTCCTCCGCTTCTTGCTCTTCCGGAGTGACAGGTTCCTCGCTCATCACTGGACTTTCGGTCAAGCCGGAGTCTTCTTTCTTGGCGCCAACAGTGGCACGCTCTTCTTCGATCGGGTGCTCAGATGTTGGCTCTTCCGGCTGTGCCTCCTCACCTTCCGTTGGCTTTTCTTCAGCAGGTTGTTCTTCAGGCAAACCAGTCGCTTCGGTCGAATGAGCTTCTTCTGTAACAGAGACTTCAGTCGAATGTAACATCTCCTCTTTCTCGGTAACGACTTGTTCGGTGCTGGACACCTCGTGAGATACGGTCACTTCTTCCACCGGTGACTCGGTCTCTACCGCCAGAGTTTCGCTCGGTGTTGTTTCCATTGGATGTACCTTGCCTTCTCCTTCTTCCGTCGGCTCAGTGACTGATTCGGAAACAGTGGTAACACCAGGATGTTCGACTTCTGCAATCGGAGATGTCGGCTTCTCCGCGACTTCGGTAGATATTTCTGGTTCCTCGGCGGGCGTTCGCGGCGTGCTGCCTTGTTCTTCTTCCGGCGCCTTTTCTACCTCGGTCACTTCTTCTGGAATCTGCGCTGAAAGCCCCTCGTGTGGACTGGTGGCCTCTTCCAGTTCCGGTTTCGTCGCACCTTCAGTCTGCTTTTCTTCGCTAACTGTAGGTTCTTCAGTCGGTTGCTCTTCTTCGACAATAGCAGGAGTGCTGCTGTGTTCTTTCTCAACCATACTCTCTTCCGTGCTCACGTGTTCTGTGGTCAACGTCTCCTCGCTCGGTTGCAAGCCCTCTGAAGTGGACGAAGCTTCCACAGCGGGCGCTTCACTACCTTCGGGTTCTTGCACGGTTGTTGCAGGCGCTTCCGTTTCCGCCGCTGCGGTTTCCGCGGGCAATTCAGCTACTGTCACCGCTTCCTCCGACGCTTCCTCAGCGACGGCCGGCTTAGTGACATGCTCGTGAGGTGGCGTAGATTCGCTCTCAGCGGAGGTAGTTTCCTCTTCGGGCACAGTAATCTCACCCGCTGGTAACGTTGCGGATTCTGCTTCTTCAGGCTTCTCAGTAGACGGGACGCGCTCCTCCGTAACGTGCTCGATAGTTCCCTCCACATTCTTCTCTTCCTCCGCCCCGTGGCCGTCGTACGGTATAACGTTGTCGGCACCCGGGGAAGATTCCTGCTGAGGCTGTTCGGTCTTCACCTGCTGATCCTGATCCTGATCGATTAGCATGGGCGACTCGGTGATTTGCTGGTCGTGCGGTACCTGCTCCGGAAGTTGTTCTTCGTCTTCTGGTAGCGTGATGATTTCACCTTGGCCGTCTTCCTCTGTAATAATCATACACACGCGCATCCGTTAATGCCCAATGCTCATCGGTTAACAACTTCTATTAGAGCTCGCCGAGCTACATATGTTACATCGCAACCGGCAGTTATTGCGCAAAATTACTCACCACACTGGTACGTAGTCGGACAGCATTCCCCTTCCGGCGGGGGTACGGCCGTGCAATTCTTTCTGTGCGCCTGCATCGGCGTTCCGCAATTTTGCACCGCGCAGGCGATCTCTCTTCGGAAGCAATAGCAATGCTGGCACGCCTCAGTGTAAATCAGCTCGCCATCCTCGTAGACCTTGCCCTCGTGGTAACATAGCGGCAGCACATCGGGAGGCAGCGTCGTGGTCATGATGAGACCCGGTGTCGGACCAACCGTGGTGCTGGGTTCCTCGTCGTATTCTACATCGGATAATTAACAATCGTGTGAGCGCGATTCTCGCACCGCAGGTGATACGCTATAGAGCGCGATGCAACGCGGGGGTCAACGAAACTTACCGCAATTGTATTTGATCGGACAGCACACACCCGGTTGGTAGACCGGTTTGCATCCCGCCACTCGTAAAGTACACTCTTGCATGACGCAGGTGGTTCTGTTTCTGATGCAGTAGCAGAGCTCGCAAGGATTGTGATGGTCCACCGGCAGCTGAGCGCCATCCGGATAAAATCTGTCGTCGACGTTGCAGCCGTAATTATCGTGGAAGCCGAGCTCCGTAGAGTCCGAGGTCGCCGGCGCGCTCGTAGTCGACGTCAGCAATTGGACCGGCACTTCTGGACAAGTGATCACCGGACAACACTGATCCGGACGCTTCTCCACCGTGCAATTCTGACCTATCGCCTTCGTGAACGGGCAGACCTTCAGGTAACACATCAGCATTCGGTTGTGGCATGTGCAATTGAGACAGGGTTCGCTCGTGATGATCCTGTCGCCTTCTTGGTAGCGCTGGAAGTTGAAGTAACATCCAGCGGCAGCTGGAGGAACGGTCCAACGTTAATAAACGCGTCAGATCTCGTACAGGTCTTGTGCGATTACGTAAAGTCGCAATGTTCAACCATACGACGTGGCAGTCGCCAAGCGCGAAGGGAATCAAACGATAGCCGTTGAATCTTGCAACGTAATTTGTTCGTGACGCTCGAGAAACTCGCGGTCGCGCTTGAACATGATGAAATTATGAGGCGAATGATAATCGTTCAGCAGCACGCGCTGCTTCTCGTACTACGATAAACGATTAACGTCACGTTTAACGACGCTCGCGCGCACGTCGATTGATTAGGTGCAGTAAAAGCCGGCGTGATATACATACCTCCATCGTACTCCGCGACCTGTGTGGTATCCTGATCGTATACCGGCGCTGCAATCAAAGAAATACGGCTCTTAGCGGCACATTCGTACACGTCGAAAGGTACGCGCGGAATTAAAGTTAATGAAAAGCATAGAGAGAGAGAGAGAGAGAGAGAGAAAGAGAGAGCGGGATTGCCGAATAAGCCCGGTGAATTTTGGAGGGGACATCAATGCGTCTCCCGTGTGCAGTTTATCATAGTAATTACCAGCGGGACGCATTCGTCTCTCGAGGGTGTACCGGGGCTTAACAACGAGCGGAACGAATGGAAGCGTCATATGGCGCGAACACACGTGGGCGAATTCTCGTTAACACCCTCGCCCCGGTCGAACGGACCAATTGTATAGCGAGCGCGAGCGGAATACTGAATTCCCGCCGGCTCTCTCTCTCTCTCTCTCTCTCTCTCTCTCTGTCTCTCTTTATGTCTCCTTCTGTCTCTTTGCTGTCTCTCGACCGATTCCCTCGCGTAATCCTCGTGCAGATATTCGCGCGCGCACAGCGCGCACAAACCACCACCCCCTCGCTCTCAAGCATGAGATCATTCTTCTTTTCTTACGTGACGCGCTCTCGCGATATCAAAGAAATTGAAGTGTCGCTTGCAGGACTCGGGTTTGATTGTTCCTGGAGCGCGACAGGACGCCTTCCTGGGGTACAATCATCGCGACGTTCTGGAAATTCGCACAATGAGCTCTCTCCTCCATCCCAGCTCACCCTCGTTCTCGCTTCCTTATCCACGAGAGACTGCGCTCTCGTGCGCTTTATCACGCGAGAACATCCGCGCGATGTGCGCAGAGTACGAATGAGAAAGTGTCATTTATTTTTTAATGCGAAGCAGCCGCAGCATCATCGGCCGCATGCAAGATTGTATTATCTCGAGTACGTCGCGCGACGAGAGATTAATGAAACGACGAGAATGTACGAGTGTCTGCCGCGAAGCTGAATCGCATTTCCGCGCCGAGCTCGTCGGCCGACGGCGCCTCCTACGGTATATCGAAGCGAGTTGCAGGATATTCGAGAATTAGCATTCCGCGACGCGGAGCGCGCAAGCGGTTTCCAGCGAATCGAATTGTACTGGGAACCACGACGGGCTCCGGCTGAATGAAGGCGTCGCGCGGTCGTGTCCCGTCAGTCCCACGAGCGAGACCCGAGCCGCGTGCCTCCATGTTACACGGACCCATCACGTACGCATGCACTGGCCTACCGAGACGATTCTTGTCTCGGCACAATGGTCGGACTAAATTATTACGTCGCACCTCCCTACCACGGAGAGAGACCACGGTCAAGGTGTCGAGGCTCCGTAACATGATTGTAATCTCTCTTTTTCTCCTCTTTCTCTCCCCCCTCTCTCTCTCTCTCTCTCTCTCTCTCTCTCTCTCTCTGTCTATCTATCTATCTCTGTACATGGTCTTTGTCGTGAAAGAACGTTGACTGCAGCGTCCTTGCGCAATATGATCATTCAATGAATGCACATAGAGCGACACGCGCTCGCGCTAATTAAACGTACAATGCGATGAGACACAAGCGGTGCATTACAGATGAACGGAAGCTCGATGCGAGCGTCGAGATTGAAAATAACATGCGAAGCATGTAAGCGTCTAATTCCAGAAGTAATGTCGTCTGTTTGAAGCTAATTCTCCTCTCGGTCCCTTTCTCTCCTTCCGTCACAGATGGTCACCAATGGACACGAGGACCCGTCGCGTCGCGTCCTTCAAACGATTCGTCGATTCTCTTACGACGAAACTGACTTCGCGGACGACACGCACCAAAAACCGAACGACCGCTTTTTGCCGCGCGGGCACAAACGCTTCCTCTCCGCTTTTTCCCGCTTCAACGGTGATCGATAAATTATCGCCGTTGATCTAACGGGACGGTCATTGAGCGCGTACGAGCTGGCAAAAAAGCGGCGCGTTTCGACTGTGGTAACGGAGAATCGCGTCGTGATGAAGCGCGACTATCAACTCGCGCCCCGCACTGGCGATCCGCTGGCGCGCGGTTTTCGACGCTCGTTTTTCGTCCTAGATCGTGTTCGTGAAATCGACACGAGAATCGCGAACCGCCCCTCGGAGGCAGTCGGACGCTCGAGAGGATCGCTCGATAAATCTCACCGCGGCGAGATAATGCGCCGCGCGGCCGGGAAAAAGTACGCGCTTTCGAATAAGACGCGTCTCGTACAAAGCCGCGCGGAAGTGCATCGGCTCCGCCGATGTGAAGCGCGCCGCGCCGTGGAGGTAGACCTCACGTGGTGTACCTGGTACGGACCCTAAATCAATCTTGAGCGCGTGGAAAAAGGACGACGTGGGAGTTTATCGGTATCAACAATAAACGCATCTTCTCTCGAATATAATTTCCGTGCGCGAGATTTATACGTTCTTTGGCCGCCTCGCTCGTAATCGAAGACAGAGGATCGTATGCGTGCGTATGCGCGCACACTCACAAATACATACGCGCGCACACACACACACACACACACACACACATGCATGCATATCTCGAGGAATCGCGGGGAGTCATTATGTAAGTCAACGCACCGCCAAGTCCTCCCGTTTCCTCTCCGCGTGTCGTTCCTCCCCACGATTGTCTCGTTCCCGCCGCGGTCTCTCTCTCTCTCTCTCTCTCTCTTTCTCTCTCTCTCTCTCTCTCTCTCTCTCTCTCTCGGTTCCTCTCGCGATGTGCCTCGACCTGACCCGAGTCGCGCGTCCCCCTTTCTCCGTACGCTCGCGAACGATGCTGTTACACCGCGAGCCTCGCAATGCGGGCGAGGGCAAGAGCACGATGTTGTTGCGCAGCGCGTTATGAAATCATCCCCGGCGGCCTTGCCTCGCGAAAGTTCATTACCATCAACCGCACACACGCTCCGATGAACACCTGGCACCTGGCGCGGCCTCCAGCGTATCGCGTGCACGAAATTCTGCATTACGCATCCTCCAAGGTCGCGGTTTTCACCGTCGCGTCGGGCCGCGCCGCGCCGCGATTCACCGCACTCGTGCGCGCTCGCGCCCGTGAAAAAGATGACGGGATAATTTCATCCCTCGTTACGCATACAACGAGCCCTGGCTTTCCCGACGAGCTCCGGCGAGACACGTCTCAGGCTAGCGCGAGCTCACCGACGAAGAAGAAGACGACAAAGACGACGAGGACGGAGCGTCGACTCCGAAGCGGGCTTTACGCGAACCTCCGCTCGCTACGTAATCTAATCTGAAATAAATTCGTGTTTTACCTGGATGTGTAGGACGAAAAATACCGGCCGTGTTGTTTGTATCGGTGCGACCGTTAATGTCAATGTCACGGATATCGGGAATGTAACGTCGGGGCAACCTGGCCGACCGGTTCTGGCGTAATACGCCGTGTAGTGTTTCTAGCGCGGGGCTCCTTTCGTGGACAATCATAAATTATATCCTCCCGATCACGGATCGAGTTCATTGCCACTTCCTACATTATGAGGCGAGTCCGCGCGCGCCGTTACGTTCGGTAATGAGAATAATTCCCGGACGAAAGGAATGCTCGTTTCCGATAAGGTGCCCGCCGCTCGAGATCCCTGAACCGATTCACCTGGCTGTGCGCACGCGCACGCGCGCGCGCGCGCGCGCGATCGCGATCGCGAGCGGACTTGAAAGCCGCGATAGCGGCGGCTCACGTGGATGCCGCTCTGAAATATTTCATTGCCGGGCGAAGTCGTAAAGAACGTATGATTAAAAGAGTGCCGCGTGCCGGCCGGTGGGCGCCGAATGCTAATTCGCTCGGGAAATTAATGAAGCCGCAGAATCATCCTCGAGCATTGAGTTAAGGCCAATCTACATAAGACGCAGGACTCGAGTCGCGAGTCGCAAGACTGGACGCAGCGTGGACGAAACGTGTTTTCAGCCGCTACATGTCGCAGGCTTCAATACGCAGGACGCACAAAAATTAACCGAATTTTAATTTTCCGCGTCTCGCGTCTTGCGACTAGCCAATCAGAATGTATTTTGTTAAGGCCAATCTACACAAGACGCAGGACATTTTGTTATTTCATTGGCTCAGAGAGAGTGTTCGCTGCGTATTTATGTACGTACGCAACAAATCTTGCGACCTGTGATCTGCGACTCGCGTCCTGCGTCTTATGTAGATTGGTCTTTAACGATTGCACGGCCAAATCACACCAGACGCGGAGAAGGAGCGCGCGACCAGTAGTTGCTAGTATTTTTCGCACGCGGAACGATGCGAGACGCGAGATCGCGCTGCTCGAATCGCGGTCGGCGAAAGAGGGAACACACCCATTTTCCGAATCGGATTAACACAACCACTTTAATCCGTGTCACGCTGACGTTGCACCCACGCGTTCCGTTATACCCTTCGTTGGATGACCGCCGCTGACCTCACCATCTCGGTAAGTAGTCAAGAAAGTATAGACGGGAGAGAGAGAGAGAGAGAGGAAGAGAAAGAGAGAAGAGCTCAGTGGAGTACGCGCGAGGACGAGGGAGTGGAGTCCTCTTACGACGTACCGGTTACAACGGATCCTTTCTATACCCTCTTACGGCTCGCGAGAGCCCCTCCACGTTTGAATTGGCGACTCGGGGCGACTTGTTCGCATTCGCTATCAAAAACGCATTAGGTTGAGTCAGCTTAAGACCCTCATTGTCTATGTGACACACGCTCCCGTGCCGGGCGACTCGCGCGGCGAAGAAGGATCCGCTCGCGCGTAGTACGTTCGGTACGTAAATTCGACTTCGCGTTTTTGCGCTATCGGGGGTCGAAGGGATAATCCCAGGATAATTCCCCGGGTTCGTATACCGAAAGTTCCTCGCGCGCGCGCAGATTTATGGATTTGCAATTACGCGTCTCCCGCCCGCGCGGTACACTCGAGTACGCTTAATACGCGTGCGAGCGCGTAACTGTACGCAGCCGCACGTCACATATATCTCGACGCGTTTTTATGCAGTCCGTGGCGCGCGCGTGCACGCAGCAGCAGCAGCAGCGGTGCGCGTTCGTCCGGATTCTCCTCCGTCGTCTCCGACGGGCTCGCCGCTCGCCGCGAGTACGAGTCGGGGTTTGATGATGCTTGACGATAACGACACTTTACCGGCATTAAGCATAAATATGGAACGCCTCAGGGGTCAGCGGCGGCGGCGGCGGCGGCGGCGGCGATGACATGGACCGTAAGTGGCGAACGGTGAGGTACGCGGTCAGTGACATCCCGCCGGGCACGCCGACTCTGACTCCTCAGGGCTTACAGGTTTGACCAGAATTCACGGCATCGCGTGGATGCAGCCGAGGAACCGCTACGCGAGCAGCTGTGTGCCTGACGCAATTTCTTCTCTTTTTTTCCTCCTCCTCCTCCTCCTTCTTCTTCTTCTTCTTCTTTTTCTCTCTCTCTCCGCGGACTTCAGCTTTAGATCACTTCCGGGATGGGAGGTGGGCAGGTGGGTGGTTTGCGGAGAGGGGGAGTCCGAAATCGGGACCCTCGCATACGAAGGAAATCAATCTTCGCGCCGTGTTTCTTTTATCTTGCCTTGTTCTTTCTTTCCGTCTCTCTCGCGACGCTGACGCAAGGGACAATTTGTATGGAGTCTCGAGGAGAGCTGCGGGAATTAACGGAACTCTCGCGTACCCGACGAAACGTCGGGTCCGCGGACCGAGAGAGACCGCGTCTCCCGCGCGGCCGCAAGTGGTAAACGATCGCCTGGGAATTCTAGTGATAACGATTATTTATATCTCGCCGGGGTACGTGCGCGCGTGTGATACTTCGCCGACTGCCGTATTTCCGGCCGAGCATATAATAACGACATCGCGATCGCGCACTCGCGCGAACACGTAGCAATCTGATGTGGGCTCACCGCGAGGAACCGCGACGGAGCCGTGCGCGTCGCTCGTAATTTCCTGGCGTAATGCAATCCGATACATCATGATTCCGATAAATCTTGAAACAAAACCGAGAGGAAAGTCGCTGATACAGCGCGCGCGCGGCGCGAGAGCGCACACGGCGATGCGCAACACGCCGGATGGGCTTTTTACGGCGAAAACCTGTTGTACCTGTATCGAGGAGTCGGCGATGTTCCTGATTTCCTTTGAATGCGAGCGTCTCGCGAATGCCCACTGTCCCGAGGAAGATACATAATCCAGTAAAACTTGTCCGTCTGATGGATCGTCGGTGATCGAGCGCGTCGATCTCCATCGTCCTTGCTGGCCGAGAAAAGCCGGAGCAAAAAGGACACGAGCGCTAGTAGCGCGCGCGAGTGTGCTGGTCGCGAGAAAGAGAGAGTCACAGAATCGCCTAGCGATCCTCTCCCGGGCCGGGGTGGGACGGGGCGAGAGGGCAGGCGGGAGGATAAAAATAAAAAAGAGGGAAGACACGCCGGGTGAGTCGCGGAATTCAATCGATCTCGTCCGTTTAACCACACCTGCTCTTCGCTGAAGCACCGACGGCCAATTGATGAAGGGGGGAAGCAAAACTGACGCATCCTCAATAAGCCTTCATTGACGATGCAACGTTTTTGCACGTCCTCGTGTTCGCAGTATCATGCTTTTCCGAGAACGCTCCTCGCTCGATCGACGCTCCGATCGATCGATCGTCCCTTTTCTGCATGAAACAGAATCGTCCCTTTTCCAGGTCACTTTCGACCGCAACAACACGGGGAATTACTCTTTCTCTCTCTCTCTCTCTCTCTCTCTCTCTCTCTCTCTCTCTCTCTCTCTCTCTCTCTCTCTGTCAAATTACGCGTCGTCGCGGGAGGGACGACTGCTTTTTTCCTACCACGATCTCGAGATGCGTATTACAGCTTCGCGAGACAGAAGCTCACCCTTAGTCTCTCACCCTCAGCCCTGCGAAGCGACTCGTGTCGCGCTACGAGCGACACGATTTCAAGTAGATCGCCTTATTCCGATATCGCAGCGGGGCCCGACCGATACGTCCGGGAATACCGCTCGAAACCTGCTCTCTCGACGTAGAGGGAAAAAGCTCGCGCGATACTTCGCGGAACGAGGCTCGCGATAGAAGGAGGCGACCGGGCCGAAGGCGACCCGAGAGTGGTCGTAGAACGAATATGGTGTGCCGGGTCCATGGGAAAGCACCTTGGGCCCCGACACGACCAGTGCCAGAGGTGAGCATTATGAGGTAATGCTCTCCCCGACGTCGAGAGGAAGGGAGACACACGGATAGGTTCGACGTCCTGACAGAACGTGGCTCGCTCATTCAAACATTGGCCAGCCAGCCGGCCGGCCGGCTGGCTGGCCGGCGTTAGTCACACCAGACAGTACACAAGAAAGACGATCGCGGAAGTGTATGCGTCTCGGCGAGAGAGAGAGAGAGAGAGAGAGAGAGAGAGAGAGAGAGACTCTGATTTTCAGAAATTAATTTCGATTCACGAAGCATCGCACACGGTCGTTCACGCTATTCACGGTCGCGCGGCTATTATTCGTAATCGCGTTCCTTGTAATTTCGCAAAAATCCCGCCGCGATGCCCGATTCTGTCTCATCGAAAGGTGAGGGATTCGCTTCGCGAGTCTTCCCTCAATAGAATCGGTCTTCTTCTGCCTGCCGCGAAGTCAGATTCTATATCGCAAACATGGCGAAACATACTCCCCCCCCTCTCTCTCTCTCTCTCTCTCTCTCTCTGTCTGTCTATCTCTCTCTTTTACTCGATCTCACACCGGGAATTACTCTTACTTTCCTCGGTCTTCATTATAGCAATATTCAACTTCTTCTCGGCGCTCCGTCAAGTGTAAAAGGAGTAAACATCACGTCGGCGGATAGAAAAACGATTTTTACGGGTACGCGCGGCATCTCGCGGCAATTTATAATGGGATATGATCCGGTTTCTCCAGGCCGAGCTGCCGGCTGGAATAATCCCTCTCGATCGCGTCCCCGGCAGCGGGGAATATGTTTCTTGCCCGTCTGTGCCGTCGATTTCCTCGTGGGAGTCCGCGCGCGTTCACGGTCTCTCTATCAAATAAATGACTCACGTTTTGTACGGCGGCTCAAGCGTGTCCGAGGCGTTGAAGCCGGACGAAAGAAAGGGAGATAGAAGCGCACCGCGAGAGAGGCATTCATTGCAAAAACTTACCAGAATGCGTGGATCGTGACGCCAGTAGGACGGCCAGCCAGAGGATAATCCCGCGTCTACAAAGCGCGACGCTCAACGCCGACATGTCGGCACTCTTCTTCCGTACCCTGCAACACATAAATGACGTTTCGTCAACTTGTATTATCCGCGCAAACACAAACCTTATAGAACCCTCCCCTTAGAGCCGCACCGATCAATTCGGTCGGAATAAGACCCAATGTCCCCGATCTAGAAAGGTGGAAACTGTGCTTCTGTCTTGCTCTTTAAATCCCAGGAAGACTTCACTTACAAACGCGGTATTGTGACGCGGCACGCGTTTCCCTCTTTATATGTGCATTCAACCCCGGCTAAAGCAAACTCGATCGATCATTTGTCACTATTAGATGAACATATTAGTTATCGGGTGCCAGCGAGCATGACACTAAGCTGCTTTTATGCAAACACGATCATGAATGGCGGTTTATACAGGCCGATCAGTCCTGTATTACGTCACAAATGCGATTGCTCCGGATTGTTCAGGCGGAGATCAAGCTGTCCGCTCAGACAGCTTTGCGAATTTTTTCACGCGACCGACGCGTCACCCGCGTCACACGCGAAGGTATAATGAGCCATTGTACGCTTATCTATTCCAACGTGGCGCGGTTTATAGTCGTATCTATCTCGTCACGTGGCGTCCTGCCGTGTAACCGTGTCTCTTTCTCTCTACCTTTCTCTCCTTCTCTCTCCGCATGCTCTGACAGAATGACAGTCGGACAGGCAGTAGCCGCGCTTGGAAGCGAGCCAGACGCACCTTCGCGTTTTGACCGAACGGTTCGCGCGAACCCAATAGCGAACGACACGCGAACCGATCTCGTTCGCAAACAAGGACTGACCCTAACTAACGCGTCGGTCAGCGCTTATCCCGATTAACGGAATTGTCTATCACCGTCTACACACGTCCACGTCCACGTCACGTCCAGCCTCTGAGCTACAATTTAGGAAAAAGAAATAGCAGAGAAGCGCGATCGCACGCGCGGCGAGGGTTAATAGGCGTCGGCGGGATCGGCGGTCCTAAGTAGCACGGCCGAGTATCGCAACTTGTCAGTGGCGAGTCATTCGAGATGCGCGAAAACGCTTGACATCACGTTCGCGTCGCGCCGAGCGGCTAAATGCGATTCGTCCGTCTACCTGGAGCGTGAGCCGGTTGAAAGGCGTGGGTGCGTGGGAATGAGCACGCGTGTTTGCACGACGAGCCCGCTCGACCTCCTCCTCCTCCTCCTCCTTCTCCTCCTCCTCTACGATTCGTGACGGTCGGCGCGACGGTTCAGACCTCGCTCGCCCGATAAGGCGAGAGACTGCGCGAAAGAGCAGAAATGAGCGAATGAGCGAAAAAAAAGTTATTCGAATAATAAGAATGTTCGCACTTTCGAGGGAGCGCCGTAAAATTGAGCACCGACGAGCTTGCGTTCGCGCATCGTTCCTTCGTCCCGCAGGACGAAGGAACGATGCGCGAAAGGGAAGACGGTGGGAGGAGAAGGCGACGATCGTATCTTCGGGTTCTTGACCGAAAGAAATTACTTAGAAGCGCTGACGCCGGTAAACGCGATAGAGATGGTGATGGAGGAGGAGGAGAAGGAGGAGGAGGAGGAGGAGGAAGAAAAATAAGAAGAATCTCCGCGCAGAAAGGAAAGGAGGACTTTGGCGAAGCCGGCGGCGCATACCAGCCGTGCGACAGCGGCCTAATACAAAGCGGTACCGAGATAAAAGAGCGTAGGTAGTTTCTCTTCTACCTGTCGACTTCATCTTTTCCCCTACGTATGTTCCTCCCCTGCCGCTCACTTCCCCCGCGGCATCCACCGGCAGCTCATTGTAGTCGCGAGAGAAGTAGGAGGCAGAGGAGAAGGAGGACGTGGAGGAGAGGAGGAAGAAGACGAAGAGGACGACGAAGGAGAAGAAGAAGAAGAAGAAGCAATGCGAGAGTCGCGACACCTAAACTCGCGCTCGCTCGTTAACGACGTCCGTTTCATGCTAGGCGCGCAGTAAATTACATCCCGGCCGATCGTAATGAATCTCGCGCCAATGGATAAATCCGCCGAGATATTTCCACGCGGCGCGGGCGGGACGACGGACGAACGCGCGAACCTCCGCGCGAATGCCGGAGAAGCAGCCGGCCCGCCTTACGTCATTGCGTATTCACGATACGGCTCATTGAACGGGGGAATTCGGTGAATGGGTATGAGCGCATACCGCCGATACTCGCGAGCGCGCCTCTCCACCTTCGGCGCGAGTGCCGGCCGCTCGCTTAGCGCGGCATCGCGCGAATATCGCGGAAAATGCTCACGCGAGATTCCCTCCGCCAACTTTCCAAGTGAAATACGCGATACGTCGAGGTGAGACTCGCTCGCGCGGTAATTCGCAGGTGGCTGACTATTCAACGACATTTCAGCAGATACGAAGGACGTGAGCTATAGAAGATGCTAAAAATTATATTATCCCATATCGAGGATCGATCGCGATTTCCTCTCTTCCGCTCTCTCTCTCTCTCTCTCTCTCTCTCTCTCTCTCTCTCTCTCTCTCTCTCTCTCTCTCTCTCTCTCTCTCTCTCTCTCTCTCTCTCTCTCTCTCTCTCTCTCTCTCTCTCTCTCTCTCTCTCTCTCTCTTTCTCCTTCTCTTTCGAGATCTACGGCCACAGGTCAGCTCTTCCGAGAACACCTGCGGCTCCTGGATCTCACGTTCCACGTGTGCGCGCGTATGTGACACGCGATCCGCGTCCGCAACCCAGAAACGACACACCCCTGCGGAGTGACGCGTCGTGAATGAAAATATCCGAGCGGCCCGTTCCGCGTTGAGCCGTCTCTCTCTCTCTCTCTCTCTCTCTCTCTCTCTCTCTCTCCCTCTCTCTTTGCCTTCGTCTCTCCCGCGCCGCGCGGCGCGATCGGCATTCTCGTCGATTCAGCCTGATTCGTCGCGAGGTGCATTACGTTCCATCTTGCTCGTCAGGACCGAGTAGTAGGCGCGTCCGTCGAACCGAGACTAATTCCACTTGCGCTCTCGGTACGGCCGCGCCGCGACGGAAGGCATCGTGTCTTCGTTGCGCGCGTTTACAAAGCGCGACGCGCATCCAAGTGCATCGTTGCAGCAGGCGGCTGCTCCGCGTCCGGCCTGCGCGCGGCACGTTTGTCGCAGATAATTTGCGTTCGATCCGGCCATAATTGCCGGCGATGACATCTTCCGGTTGCAGCACGCGCGCGACCATCGATCGCACGCATATGCATACATGCGCCGCGTGTACGCGCTGAAAAGCATTACTGGCCTCCCCCCCCCGCGGTGGCCTCCTCCTCTCGACTCGCCCGGTTCGTAACGGGACCTCCGCTTCTCTCTCCGGAGCCGCCAATTATAATTTACGACGGTTACATACGGGACGAAACGCGGCGAGAGAGGTATTTTTGGTTTCGAGAGCTGATCCTACTGTCTGAACACGCGATCTTTGGTCCGCACGTTAAACTCCGAAGTCACAGCGTTTCTTCACAATGCTTTTTTTTTATTTTCCACAATCCTCCTCGCTACACGCCTGTATTTTGCGCTTATGGATGATTCTTACCCACGGCGAGCTGGTCTCTTTCTCTTTCTCTCGCTTCCTCTCCTCTCTCTCTCTCTCTCTCTCTCTCTCTCTCTCTGGCGTCGATCGCCCATTGAAAATGATATAACTTCCATGAAGTTCAAGTTCCGAGGATTACGTAATGGTATTTCGAGGAACGTATAATTTATGGCCAACGTGCCTTTTGACTCTTTTCAAGTGAGCCTCGCACCGAGCGAGCACGAGCGGTCGCGGTACTGCAGCTGCGAGGTGATTTGCGTTCAATCCGGTCGTAATGGTCGCCGACTTCTTCCGGTTTCTAGCGCGTGCACTGTGCGAATCGATGCGCGCGCCGCCGAGGTACCGTCGAAGACGGTTTACGAGGCGCGTCGAAAAACGGCAACGCGAACGAACGAATGAACGAACGGATGGACAGCGTCCTCTCCACTGCTTAGCCACAGCGAAGGGGAGAAGGTGGCACGAGAAGCGTGGCGATTTTACTTTCGCGCTCGCGATAAATTACGAGGACGAAACTCGCGAGCGAGCGAGCAAATTCACCTAGTGCGGGCAACGGCGCGTTAAACTCGCGGCGGGCGCTCGCGGTGCCGCGAAGCGGGGCGGGGCGTGCATCTCCGTTCTAATTAATCCACTAATTAACGCCCGTCGCACGATTATCCGGCGAGTGATTAACTCGCGGACGAATTACGCGCTTCCTCCGGCCAGATTGCTCGCCGCTTGGCGCCGCGGCGCGTGCTATCGCGAGCTCTCGCGAGCGCAACGGGATCTCTTTTCGCTGCGGTTTCCAGCCTATCGCGGACTTCATTGAATTGTGGATAGCAGCAAATTAATCGTTATTAGCATTCGCGGCGGCGGCACGTTGCCACACGGTGCCGTGGTGCCAACCGGTCGCGTCACGGGGTCAGGTCGGGTTCAGAGGCTAGCCCGCCTTGTCCGCGCTTGGAAACAAGATGGTAACGATAACGATCGGGGAGCCTTTGCTTGCCGAGAGATAACAGCCGGTCGTGCGATAATTGCGGCAACATAGGAGTTTGGCTCGGAGGGTATAGGTGCAGCTAGGATGCACCCACAGGTCCGACGGGACGGGGTGCTGGTGGCAGAGGTTCCGTTACAGCCCGGAGGCTGGGTTCGTTCACCATTACCGTGGAACGCGGAATATGATTACCTTCACCTGGGAACAAACTCCTTATACACCACGCCGGCTAAGGAGACCGTGGGCGAAGTTCGCGGTCGTGGATACCGTGTCCCGGTTACTCGCCGTTCGCGTTCGCTAATCAGATTGGAGCCGGTCGGATCGACCGACTTTCCGGCCGCGATAGATCGTCGGCCGCCGGAGCAGCGCGCGGCGCGCGGCGCGCGGCGCGACGGCTCAAATCTGCATACAGAGCGATTCAACGCGGGTATTTTAGCGCTCGTCGACGCGGCACGTGCAGCTAATTTGATCGCGCGTCTCGCATTGCGCATTATGCAAATCCGCGCGGTTCGATAACCGTCAACATGCGTGCGTGCGTGCGTGCGTGCGTGCTTGCGTAA